AAAAAAAAAGGACATCTTAACATTAAGTGCACTGAGCTTCTGGGAATAAGGAAATTGAAGCCTTTGTAAAATCAAATTTTCATAAGTATTTCTTCTTTTCTCAGGGTACGGAGTCCATAAAGATGGAAAATGGACAAAGCACAGCAGCTAAACTGGGGCTTCCTCCCCTCACACCGGAACAGCAGGAAGCTCTCCAGAAAGTGAGTGAAGCTGATGTATATTTGCTTCTTAGCACCTTTTTAATTTTGATTTTATTTTATTTTTTCCATTACTGCTTATTATTGCTTTTTTAAAAGGAAACTCATCTGCCAAGGAATATGTACCGGATACTGGCCATGCTGCGTTTAGATCCACTCTTTTAAACTTGTGCCCCTCTCTTGTTTATTTTGGGAGTTTGTTGTTGCTTTTGGGGACAGAAGAGGGAGTTTGCGTGGGGTGTAAGTCAAAATCAAAGCAGGTGACACCTTGAGATCACACTGTGATCCTGAAAAAATATGAACTGCTGCCAAGTTACTGCTAGGAGCAGCTTGTACTCTGCAGGGTCTCTAATGCTCTAGCTGGCCTTGGTTTATCCACACAAGGACACACTGCAAAATATCTCTGCTCGTTTTCCCCATGTGCCTTTCCCCATTGCTGTACAGGGATCCTATCGCATGCACCGAGCATTTTCAACTCCTTTGAGCCAGGTTTTATCTAGGTAAACGCTCAGTCCAGCTCTGATTTCTGGTTGTTGGTCCTGTTTTCTAGAGCTGTGGGGAGGTTACTGCTGACTTCTGGCTCACTTTCCTCATGGCAGTGAGTGATGCCTGGCTTATGGAGAGCAGAGTTGGGAGAAGAGGGAGAAAAACAACCTCAGGGGTAGTGGGAGCCGTGGGCCAGGTGTCCTCTGTGCTCCAGTGAGGCAGGCAGCGCTTCTCTGGGCAGGCTGGCTGTGAGTGTTCCCGTGCTGCTGCAGCTGCTCGTGTGTGTTTGGCTCGTGGTGTGAAGCGGCCTCTTTGCCTCAGGCTGCTCCATAGCTGACGGATGTAAATCCCCTTGTCCGTTTCCAGGTTTCCGAAGCAAACGCCTCAAATCCACCGTTTAGAGCCTGCTGCTCCCTGGCACCCCCCAAACATGTACAGCCATGGAAAGCAGGTGCCCGAGGGGTTGGCCAAGTGTGTCCGTGCTGTCCGTGAGAGCAGGCACACGTGCGGGTTTCCCTTGGCAAAGAGCCTCTGGATCCACGTTGCTGGGGGTTAAGCCCAGGTGTTGTAAAATTTTGGAAGGCTGAATGCAAAAGACATTCCATGTGTGTTGGCAGGCCAGGAGCTGAAAAAGGAGAGCTGGAGAGTTTTAGTGAGCAAAAGCAGCGGCTCTCCCACTTAGAGCACGCCAGATGTGCTAGGGAAGGGTGGGTGCCCGGAGCTGGGCATGGATGTTAGGAGCCCCCTTCCCTTCTGTTAGAACTTCTTTTGTCCAGATGTTCTCTGAGTGGAAAGGACTTGAAGGAGGCTCTGTCCTGTCCTCATCCCAGCAGGTAAGGTGCTCTGGTGGGTCTGAGGGGCAGAGGGAGGCAGAGGGGAAATGCTGAGTGTGTCATGCATGCTGCTTCCCTAACCTGCGCCTGCTGCAGACGTGAATCCCTCCAGTCCTCTGCTCAAACACTGTGGTATATTTCAGGGCTCACGACTCCGAGACACAGACCAAGATGTTAGTAAGACATTGGCTAATGTACAGTGCCCCAGTGCTTGGGGCTGGAGCCCTGGAAAGCACCGTTGGCCAACAGTCGTTTGGGGAGCTGTGTGTGAAGTCAGATGTCCTTCCCTAGTCTGTGGTACTGTCCTGTGGCTACAGAGTCTGTGTTTCCTTCCAGGCAAAGAAGTATGCAATGGAGCAGAGTATCAAGAGCGTGCTGGTGAAGCAAACCATCGCCCACCAGCAGCAGCAGCTCACCAACCTGCAGGTGAGAGCCTCTCCAAGATTCTCCTTTTCTTCTTACTCTCCCCAACAAGGTGGAGTTTTTTTGCGCTTAGAACCAGAGCACAGCCCTGAGGTCTGCCCGGAGCCAGGTACTTGTGCTTCTCTTTCCACAGGGAAATTGAAGTTTGCTATCTTCATCCCTCCAAGAAATACACTTTACTGACTCATGCAAATTGCCCCAAAATTCACATGCTCAAAAAGTAAATTTTCTTAAGAATTTCTCTCCTGTTTGAGATGAATTTTGTCTCTATTTGGCTGGCTGAATGCTTCTTGAAAAAGCAGAATCCAATCCAAAGAGCCTCCTGTGGGTTCTGTGTTCCGCCCATGTGGTGTGTGGGGTTCTTGGGAGCTTTTCACCATCTTCTCCCTGTGACGAATGGGTGCCTGTCTCACATTACTGACAGTGCTACCCAATTTTCTTGCCCCTTCTCCCTTGCACACTGGCAATTTTACTGAGATGTTTGCTTGGCCATTCCTGC